TTTTTAGTTTTGAGTTGAATCACGATTCGAAGCAGGTCTTGATTTGCATATCGAATTGAATCACAAGTCCAATCAGCATTTTGAGGAAGTTTAACTAAAACATAGATATCCTCAAAATGCTGATTTGATTCGATTGGCGACTCAATGCCTGCTTCGATTTGTGATTTGATTCAATACCTAAAAATATGATTCACAGGGCCCATATATATATATATATATATATATATATATATATATATATATATATATATATATATATATATATATATATATATATATATATATATATATATATATATATATATCAGGGCTTGATTTAAGCGTATTGTGAATTGTGATTGCTTTTCACACCTTAGCGATTAGTTTTTTGCTTTAAAAAAATATTTTTGCAATTTTTTTTTATTTTTTGGTTGTTCATTTTTTTTTTTTAGCATTTTTTTGGCAATTTTTAAAAGTAATGTTTTTGTAAAGTACGTCACAATAAATTTATCTTCTGAATGATCATTTTATATTCTAAATTTATCTTCTGATGATCATTTCCTCTTTCACACAGAGATTTTTATTCAAAGTAAAACACTTTTGAATTTAAATTACTTTGAAAAAGAAAAATACATTAAAGCAAATTTTTTCTTCATTCTTTTTTTTTAACAAAACAGCCTGGTTTTTATCTTTGTTTTTCAAAACCTTGCACCAAATTAACTTATTATTAATAATTTTATTATTTTATCAACAATTTTATATTATTAATTTTACTTCGTTAAGTATATTAAAATATATATAAATTCGTTTTTATTAAATTTTATATCTAATAGTTAATCAATGCTAATTGAAACCAGTTACTTTTTTGCTTCAACGTTTTTCAGCATTTATTAAATATATATCAATTTGTATATTTAAACTATAGTAAAATGTGTAACTTAAAGAAATTTAATTTGATTTATTAAACCAAATTTTCTTTGTTTCACTTTTTATTGGATAACAATTTGAATAAAAAAACTGAATGAAAACATCAATTTAAAAACCATTTTCAACTTAATTAAACTTAAATTTTTAATAGTATGTTAGATCAAGAAACGATAAATTATAAAAAATGTGGTATCTAATATTAATAAAAAATATTAAGTTTTCTGAGGATAATTTTTTAATTTATTAATTATAACAATTTTATTTATTTGCTTCGTTTTATTTTAAACGCATTATATGTTATTATAGGCAAAAAAAAAAATTTTTTTTCCGATTAAATTTTTTTGCATTAATTCTCTCTCTCTCTCTCTCTCTCTCTCTCCATATATATATATATATATATATATATATATATATATATATATATATATATATATATATATATATATATATATATATATATATATATATATATATATATATATATATATATATACATACAATACAGTAGGCTTAATAAATCCTTGGGTGTTGTCTTATGTCTATCTGTTAAAAATTGCTTAAAATTATAAGCTATTTGGTACAGGGAGGAATGGACTTTTTTTTTATTTTAATAAATTCCTAAAGTCAGTTCTCAAAGTCAAAGGCAAATCTCATTCCCGCGATTTTCTCCTTCTTCTGCACCTGCCATTTCTCATAATGATCTTTTTTTTTTCATCTTTTCCACAAAAACTACATATTTGAAAACAGTAATACTTTTGTTATTTCACCATATTGATGCAAAATGGTCTGGTGCTAAAAAAGCTCAGTTGCTAAAAAATATCTGGTGCTAAAAAAGCACTGGCGCTAAGAAAGGTGTGGTACTAAGCTCAATTATTAAATTGAAAAGTATATATGAAAAATACAAGCAAAGTATAAATAAAAAATAGTTAACAAAACACATAAAGTTTAATTAGGTATAAAAATTATAATCATATACTATGTTGCTTGATAATTTATTTTTTTAGATGCTATGAATTAAATGGAACTTTGAGAATGTAAACAAAAGCCTATACTTTTTTTAATTAATATAAATCTTGCTATTTTTATTAGGTGAATTAAAATCAAACGAAAAAAATGAAAAAGAAATTACATTTATAAAGTTATGAAAAGTTACAAGAATATAATAATACACAATAAAGAATATAATAATACACAATCTAAATATAGTATATATATATATATATATATATATATATATATATATATATATATATATATATATATATATATATATATATATATATATATATATATATATATATATATATATATATATATATATATATATATATATATATATATATATATATATAAGTAAGTTTAAAAACTGACTCTAACATTAAAAAAGTTGAATTTCATCCAGTAGGTACCTCTTTTTTAATTTGTTAATTGAACATTTTTTATGTTTTTTAATTTTCATATTAACTAACTCAACACAGTTAACTAGATTAGCAGATTGCGTAGCTCATAACTACAATTAAATAAACCAAACAGATTCCTACATTTGTTTAAAATAAAGTAGGGACAATGATTTTCTTCATTGATAGTTCCCTTTTAAAAGAACATCTTTAACCGTTAAATTTAATATATGATGATATATAACTATAATTTAATATAACAATAAGGTGTGTATTTTTTATTCAATAGATATTTTAGACAGTATTTGACATTTGCAGCAGTGTCCATTCATTTAGAATTTGCTAATTTTTCATTCATTTAGAGTTTGCTAATTTGCTACTAAAATAAAAGCTAGTATGAGTATTCAAGCTAGGCTTTAATGCAGTGCAAATCGATTTGAAACTGTTGATCAACAAAATAGTGCACCAGTGTGTGAAAGTGAGTGTTATCTGTCCATCTGCTGTTAGATAGCAAAATTCAACTTTGTTTAAAAGATGCATATCCTTTAATTTAAATTATTTAATTAAGCTGCACTATTTTGTACAAAATTTTGATTAGTTGTCAGCTTTTGTTTGTTATCAAACAAAGCTAACGATTTGATAAAATGTTTATTATCAACAATCGACAGCAGATGGTCTGTTTGAAGAAAAAATTACTCATAGACTTTTATAAATCTTTATATTTTTGTGACCTTGAACAATGTTAGTGAGATTTGGTATATGCAACTTCAATACCTATATAACCAGTTGTTGTTATTGGTAGCCTCTATGATATTAATACAATGGTTACTATACTAGTATTCTATATATTATTTTAATTAACTAGAGTTTGTCCAAATAAAATTATACCATTTGTTAAAAATGTTTGAAAGGAACTATAACAATTCTTAATAAGTACAAAATAAATAATTTGTAAATACAATACAAATAATTACATAATGTATTTAATTTATTTAAATATAAAGATACATAAAAAATACCCATTGAATTTAAAAAAATAAAAAATGAAAATATTAACAAAGCAAACAGTTTAATAAGATAAACAGTTTTATAAGATAAATTTAAAATTCTCAAACATAAAAAACAGTTTATTTTCCCAATAGTTTGTACAGTTCATAGTATTATTGCTCATAAGTCTATTATATTGTTCATTACTATTTTTATTGTTCATAAGTCTATTATATTGTTCATTACTATTATTATTGTTCATAAGTCTATTAAAATACCTTAGATTTAATCATTTTATTCTTAAATTTTTTTCTTGAATTTTTTGGTAATATCTGATGTTGTCAACAATATCTGACATCAATTTTCTCATTCATAGACAACTATAGTAAATTTTTTTTGTACATTTCTTGCACTTAAGTACTAAATTTGCCCTTTTTAATTTTAGAGAAGACTTTGGTATAAGTCTGGGTTTAACACAATTTATCCTTCCTCATTTTAGAAAAGACCTTGGTATAAGTTTGGATTTTTCATATTTTACTCTTTTTAATTTTAGAGAAGACCTTGGTACAAGTCTTGGTTTAACACAGTTTGCCCTTCATAATTTTAGAGTAGACCTTGGTATAAGTTTTAACACAATTAAGATGGACAAAGTTGTTTATCATAAAACAATTTTCTTTTAAATTTGGAGTAGTTTTTAACTATGAGTATTTAGAACATAAAATACAATTTGCAATCTGGAGTATTACTTTTTAGTAGCTTTTAGTACTTTTTATATTTAGCTGACTGCCACTTTTTATGCTGTTCTAAATCTTATGTTAACCTTTTAACATCATAGAGTAGATTTAAAAGTATAGGTTTTTGTTTACATTTCCAAAGTTCCAGGGTTATTTAAAACATTGAATCTTTGTGCAGACTAACGAAATTTTTTTTATATACAAATATGTTATACAGGTTTAAAGTGCTAAAATTTGTACTATTTTGTTGTTAGATTTGGGTTTGTTATTTGGATTTGTTGGAATGTTTGAATATTAAGGCATCACTTATATACCTTCTATATTGATAATGAATTATTTTTTTTGTTTTATATTTATACATTCTGGCAAGCAAAATTAGAAATCAAGGATATTATTATTTGTTTTATATATTTAACACTTTTGTTACCACATGTTGTTGACAGTTACCACATGTTGTTGACAGTTACCACATGTTGTTGACATGTTGTTGCTTTTTAATATTAACACTTTTTTTACCACATGTTGTTGACAGTGGTTTTTGTTACCACATTTTGTTGACAGTTACCACATGTTGTTGACAATGGCTTTTGTTACCACGTGTTGTTGACAGTTACCACATGTTGTTGACATATTGTTGATTTTTAATATTATTTGAGTTAATAAAGTCAATGATTTCTTTACAAATCTTTGTTTTTAGTTAATGAATTTTCTCATGCAGAAAAGAAAACTGCAGCTTTTAATTAAAATCTTAAAGCATTGTTGACTAATATCACTAACTTTTACAGATATATTGTCAATTTAATTTTTGACAATCTGGATTTGATACTAACAAAACACATTTTTTGATCAATATTGAACATTTCGACAAATAATTTTCCATTGAGTTTTTAATGTGTTGAAATTATTTAAATATTTGTGTTTTTAATGTGTTAAAATATTGATTAATTTACAATTAAAAAATAAAATATTTTTGTAGATGATAGTAAACCTCAAGAATTCATTTTTAATGATTGCAAACTTCAAACATACACTGGTAAGCTGATTATTCTTGAAATTACTTATTAATTCAGTTTATGTTGTTATGTAGTTTATATTGTTATGTAGTTCATATTGTTATGTAGTTTATATTGTTATGTAGTTTATATTGTTATGTAGTTTATATTGTTATGTAGTTTATATTGTTATGCAGTTTATATTGTTATGTAGTTTATATTGTTATGTAGTTTATATTGTTATGTAGTTTATATTGTTATGTAGTTTATATTGCTCTAATTCAAATTCTCAGTTTCCTCTTAATGTGTTAATTTTTTTTTTTTTGACCTATTTGCATACCTAGTCTTGCATAAAATATTTTTAATGATATCTTACTGAAATAGCCATCTGCTGGGGCTTTATTACATATATTGAGGGTTATGGTTTCAAGAGTATTTATATATAAAATAATTTTATTAGTTTAATAAAAAAAAGAAATCAATTTTTTTCCCCTTTTTTGCTGAACAAAATATTTAATTCAATTTTACATTTTAAAACATGGTTCAGACTTAGTTACCTCACCTAAAGACAAAGTTGAATTGTTTACTAAGAAGTTTTCAATTATCTCATCTCCACTAATTACATCCTACCTGATATAGCTGACAAACAGGTTGATATATTGGTTGAGATTCGTATCACTCCAGCTTCTGTGTCGACAGTGTTTTCTTGCTTAGACTCTTCTACAGCTTATGATTCAGACAACATACCTGTTATAGTCTTGCAGAAAAGTTTTTATTGAGATAAGCTCTCAGTAAAAACTATTTATTGAGAGCTTATTAGAGTCTTCTTTTACTACCACCTTACCATCCCATTAGTCTTCTTACTATCATAAGCAAGGTTTTTGAGTCTTTAATTAACAGACACCTAATCTCAAAGCTAATGACTTCATTCTTTAAAGTTATAGGAAATGTTATAATAACTTCATTTTTTAAAATTATAGGAACCATAAAAAATTTGTAAATATATATAAGTGGTATTTAGGTTTCTTTGTTTGAATTTTAATGGTATCTAAGTTTCTTTGTTTGAATTTTTATTTTAGTATTAGTTCTTTATGAATGAATTTTATAAATACAAAAATAAAATGATGGAAAAAATTTTAAAAATCCTATTTCTTTTTAAAATAATAACTTTAAATAAAATCAATGCATTTTTAAAATGGAAACTTGCAAATAACAAGCGTTTTAACTATCTGCTAATGTTAATAGTTTTAAAAAATTATCGCGCACATTAGTTTTCATTCAATTAAGAAAGGAAGTTTGATAACATCCTAAAAATTTATTGCTGATTATTTTTCTTAAACATGGAAACAATTTTTAAAAACTAAAAATATAAATTGAATACTCAATACTAAAAGAAATTGTTTTATGAGATGCTACTATAACTTTAAGTATTCATTTAAACTACTTTAACTTTAACTTATTTAGTTTACAAAAAACAAAGTTTTTACTGAAAATAATAAAATTAAATTAAGTCTATAGAATTTCTATTGTAGAGTTTTTAAAGGTAGGTTGTTTGTCTCATTTCAGTTGCAACCATTTTGATGGGTTGATGTTTTATGATTCTATTACAATTCAGTAATAGAAAAAATTGTGACAACATGCAAATTCAAAATTGATTGTTTTAAATTTATTCAAAACAATTGATTCATTGCAAACTAAATCAAAAATATGCAAATGCAAATTAAAAATAAATAAAACATTAAATCAAAAAAGAAAGTGCAGCTAGAAGAGAGAAATATTCTTAGTTATGTGCGACAATTTTGAATAATAGTAAAATAAGAACTTCAATCTTTAAAGTTAACAACGTTGAAGAAGAAAAATAATTGCTCATTTTATATCTCTGCTTATTAAAATCATTTTAAAAACTGCTAATTAGTTAATTTAATGTTATTTATTTTTCTGCACAAATACTATTTAAACTGATAACTTAATAATAAAAAATAAATCGTTTTTTGAAACACTGCTATAAAAATTACTTTTCACTAAATATGTATATTTTTAAAGATTCCTATCACAAAAAAATAAAAGCGCAAATTAGTAATTACAATTTTAATTTTCATTCTCATTCGTTATTTACAACAAAAACTTATTGAGATTTAAAGGAAAAAAAATGACAAAGTTTAAAAAAAAATGTTTTCAGTTAAATACAACAATTATTATATACTATTGTTTTATTAATAAAATAATGCATTATTTTTATTAAAATAATAAAAAAAAAAAAGAACTTTTATTATTTATGAGGGATTTTTACCACCAGTAAAATGAATCTAAATAAGTGTAGTAAGAAATTAATAGTTTACATCATATATAATATTTTTCAACAGAGCGTAAATGCATTGTAAACAAAACTATTTTAAAGATTTTTTCAAATTTTTTTTTTTTTTTTTGGAGTAGATGGAGCTTGCAGGAGTCCTTATGGTCTTATCAATGAGCATTGTGGAAGAGGATTTTGAAAAAATTAATTTTTTTGAACCATCTAAATATATGTGCATAACTTTGCATTTTTTGACATTTAAATTGAATAACCAGTCTTTACATCACTTTAAAATATTATTAATATTATTTTGTAATGATACACATTAGGGTGTCCCAAAAAACAACATTTTTGAAATAATCTGCTCTCACCCCCTAAATGTGTTCTATCTAATGCAAAAACACTAGGTTTAAATTTTTTTTGAATAAAAAATATTTTAAGGGGTCCCTCAAGACCCTTGAATATTTAATGGGTTTCTTAATATTTTCGAAAAAAAAGTTTTTCAAAAATATGTCAACCTGGTACTCAAATGAAGCGAAATTATATAAAAATTTTGAAAATAATATTCATTTTAAAACAAAATTGTTATTTTTGGTTTTATTGTATAAAAAATTGCGTTTTTTAAGAAAAAATGAAAAAAATGCATTTCTAATGTTTTTTTATGAAAATCTTGACAAATAAGTTAAAAATATTTCGAAATGAATATTATTTTTGAAATATTTATATAATTTCGCTTCATTTGAGTACCAGGTTGACATATTTTTAAAAAACTTTTTTTTCGTAAATATTACGGACCCATTATATATTCGAGGGTCTTGAGGGACCCCTTAAAATATTTTTTATTCAAAAAAAATTTAAACCTAGTGTTTTTGCATTAGATAGAACACATTTAGGGGGTGAGAGCAGATTATTTTCAAAAATGTTGTTTTTTGGGACACCCTAATACACATTGTAACAAATTACTTACTACAGCTATTATCTTTAAATCATTGGCATAAAGTTTTGAATTAATTGAGATGATCTCATTCAAATTGTTAATTATAATGATGAATAAATTTGTTCTGAGCTTGATTTGTTCTCAACCAAATTGATATAAAATCATCTATACGAACATGTTAATGTGAATATAAAAAACCTGCAATTCATTGCAATAATTTGTTTTTTATTCTATAAGCTGATAATTTTAACAATAATCTCTGATGTTGTACTGAGTTAAAAGTCTTAGCAAAATCTAACTAATATCTACAGACAAATTTGGAATATGTAATTAGTTCATAGGTTATAATAAATTAATGATGTATGATTTATGTTTCAAAAATCCATGTTAATTCTGGTTCAATAAATTTTCACCATCTAAAATATTAAGTTAGCAGTTTTTTATAACAAACTCTATGACCTTAGATACAATTGAGGCAAAGATACCGGTCTATAATTCTCTACAATTAGTTTACTACTTTCTTAAATAATAAGGTTACACTTGCAGCTTTCCAAATATCTGGCAATTTTTATAATTATTAAACAATATATTAAACAGAATATATAAACAGAAAACAGGCAAACTGGATGTGCACTGTTTTAATACATATCTATGCACATTATTTACACCAATATTCTTGTAGGAATCTAGTTTTAATAATAGTCCATATACGTTTGACTCATTAAAAGTTGGTATCGAACATTCGTTATATGTTTGACTAGGAAAATTTGGTATTTTGTCATTTTGTTGTAAAAATACTGATTTATATTGATTATTTGATTGACAATTTCAAACCTGTTAGTTTATAACTCACCATCTTGATTTTTTATGCTTCTTATGTAACCATGTACTGATTTCTGATGTGATGATGATGAACACACAAGTAAAATTGTTTTGGTTTATATCTAAAATTTTTGATTAACTGTAATTCATAATTTATTTTTGATAACTTTATTTGTTTTTCAATTAATTTTTATATAGTTTATATTGTTGCATTTGTGGTTCAAATTTCCAACTGGAATTTCGGTTCAACTTCCATAAACTATTTTTACTCATAATTATTGATTTGATCTCAGTAGGTAACTATTTTAAATTGTTTGTAGTGATTTGTTCTAAAGACTGATATATATTCTTTACATGCTGATGTATAACAATCCAAAAATCTTTTATAAGATATTCCAATATCATCCTTAATAAAAACCCATTTAATTTAAAAAATATCTGTCAAATTGTTTATAATTTTAAACAAAAAATAAAATTAATTTCCTTCAAGGTTGTTTACAATGCTAGAGATAAACAGAGTTTAATCCCTTATACTAATATCAGCTCTCCTACATGTTGGTGTGGTTGGTTCAATCAAACCCTCTCTTGTGATTTTATTGTTTACTTCAAAGACTGAGGCATCAAAGCTATGTCTTGATTCAGGCTTATCAGGTTTATTAGCCAAAATTGGTTCTTTGCTAAAGTCTCGGTGATAATCTTCTCTATCAGGGTACAGCTTGGCAGGACCTATAAAAAAAGTAGTTTCCAGTATAAAGAACTCAAAGCTTATTCCTCTCTTTTATGACATATGTTAAATATTAAAGAGAGGTGTTAATTAGAAATTATTAACTAGTAAATACTTTTAAAAGATAATAAACAACATTATCTCTTGACTGTTTTTTCTCTACTTTTTTTAAAAGTAGTTCATCTTTGCTGATAAAGTCCTGATCTTT